ATTTCAGTAAATTTTCTTCTTCTTGAAATTATCTTTATTTTTGCAATGGCCCCCAGGTTGATAGAGAATCGTACATGTAACCGTACAAATTTGTTTTGCGGTCACCATTCCACTTTGCATGTACTTCAGGGGAAAATGAGGCCACAATTTTAATTGGCGATATGTAGCAGTTTTTAATTGGCGTAAAGCAATGTGGTAAACATAGCCTGAGAACGAGGTTGAGTTTTGGCATCGAATGTCAGTCAGGCTTGAAGTGCTGAGCCGCGCATAACGATAACCAGGCTTGTTACAGTTTAAACTTATTCATCAAGTGAACTTAAAAATATTTAATTAAAGCACAAACTTAAAATGATACGCACCACCGTGGAACAGTAAAAGTTCATTGCCTGACTGTCCAAATTCGATTCATTAATTCAATTATCTCATGGAAACATTGGCAATTGGAACCATCAATAGATTACTAAAGCAGACGAAAGCATTATACTTTTCTGACAAATTAAAGAAGACTTGTGAAAGTCACTGCCAGATATCTTTAATTTCAATCAGTCAAAAAAACTTGCGGTCCATAAAATACCTTCTGTGATATATCGTTCCGAGGCAAAATACTTCAAAGGTTTAATATCACAAGTAAGCGGGAGAAATACTTGTAAACAAAGATCATCGAGATCAAATGCAAATGTTAACTGAGCGACTGTGAGGCGAAACTAGACAAACGAATGGAAAATAGGGGAATTTGGGTCGTGCAGGCAGAGAAAGATTTGAACCGCAGCGTCAAAATTGAATGAATTTTGAAAACGGAAATTTGATAAACGAAAGATTTCATTTGGTACTGGTTTTGTAGAATTGAAGGTAAGATTTAACTCTCATCAAACTTTTAAAACGGTCAGTGCCGGTGAGGAATTTCCTAATTTGGGTCATCTTACTGTGCACAAGAGACCGGACACGAAAAGAAAAAAATAGAAGAGCAGGTAGAGGAGGGTAGTTGATGAGCTTGTTTAGTCAACGATTTGTAATACCTACAAACTAAGACGACAGCGAGCTTTATTACAGATGCAAAGAGTTAGTATGGATCTTGAATGAGATTTATCAACAATAGAAACAACGGGATCAGAGAAGCAGTTCGGATAATCGAGGTCCGAATAATCAAGGTGCGACTGTATAGCACAGATCTAATTATTCTGCAGATACCCCACTTTCGTAAAACCTTTTTCCCTAATCCCTCCACCAAAATCGTGACTGGCTAAAACCATTTGCTCACACTTTTTCCATATTAAATTTATCTTTTTATCAACATCTAAAGCAATATTTGATTTAAACTTTTTCTCATGTTTCACTCAGTCTCTTCCAGAACGAAGGATGACCATAGTCGTACAAAGATGACAACTCCACCGCTTTCCCAACACGACCAATACGTTTCCTTAATTCGCGAACCGCCCTCCCTGAGTCACGCATTGATTCGCTAAAATTTGAAGACCTGTCAAACCACAAATTACCAAGAACGCTCTAATTGGTGTAACACACAACATACTAAAATCTAATTGATTTGTGATACACCAAAATAGAAAATGCGCCAATCAGATTGCTCACAGGTACCCCAAAAATTGCGCCAATCGGATTGCTTAGAGATACACGAAAAACACATCGCTCTATACGCTAAAAAACAGTTAATTTTCTTAAAAAAGAGTTTTCTCCGTAAGTTTTATGATGCACCTATCACACCTACTAAGATATTTCTACAAGGCGAACTTCTGTTTGAAATCGCGCACAATTCTGAAATGATTGTGAGATGTTTATTGCTTTTTGCTGTCTTCCATTAATAGTATCACGGTAAGTCCTTGTAGTGTCACGACCTGTTACGGGAAGAACTGAAAAGATTATACCTTCGGATCTACATAATTCGCTGATTTAAACGGTAAAAAGCGCTCTCTGCGGACACACAATATGACTTTCTTCGTCAATAGGCCAGCCAGGGCCATCGGTTATCGTCACTTTAGGTTCCAGAGGAATAAGAGAACTCTTCTTTGAGGTTTTAGACATGATTTTGGAAATTTTCGCTCAGATTGTCTTTAAGACGTCCGCGTGGTTGTAGGAAACGCAAAGCAATGATCTACGCAGGCGCAATGCTATCTGACAAGGTAGAACTAGCACTTTATTTTCTAAGTGTAATGTAAAGTTGTACCTTGTGTAGAATGAAGGCTAACATAGTGTACTTCATGGATGTGTCCCAACACAAGTGTCCTGCTTTTGTCAACAGGACATTGTGGCTGTACGATAACTTCGGGAGCTGCCGAAAGACTGCTGACCACACGAATGCAAGTTTTGTAGCAGTTTGCTGCGGCACATAGAATAACATGGTCACCCCAAGCGCCATCTTGCTCCATGTACGTTAAGTAATCAGCCCATGATTGATGTCCATGGACGAAGTCAAACAGATTTGTTTCATCCGGCTGTGAGAAGAGCAAAATAGAGAACGAAACTTTAGTGCAAAGTTAATGGTACACTGGACCAGGCAGAGTACGTTGGAAGGAGTCATCGAATGAGTAAATAACAAAGAGATACTAAACA